ACTGAGAGGAAGGTGAGTTCGAGGTAGGTTCCTTCAAGATTTTGTTGGAGCCTAGATTGAAAGGTATAGAGTGCTCGGATATCCTATGAGGTGTCAAGACAAGTGATAATCTTGTGGGATATGAGCAGCTCTAGGGAAACATTGTCGATCTTCTTGGCTCTCTGGGAATGAAGTTGTTGTGCGGTGGTTATGAGTTGGGAGACAATACAATTGAACGGGTTAGGCTTAGTAGCCATCGAATTCCAAGTTTCTATCACCACTTGACGAAACCCATCAATCTCAGGCCAGTTCTACTCAAAGTGGAAGTGACATGCGTCGTGGTGCTATAAGTGTAGTTGACGATCCGATGGCAGTGATCGGATAATACCCTTACAAGTGAGTAGAGAAGGCTTTGATGGTGAAGCTCTTCCTAGCTGTAGGTACGGTTTGCTCCATTGATGTGCTCGATGATGAGAGTGTAGCCCACATTAGAGCAGGTGTAGTGGTGGCCATGAAGGTATATGTTCTTTATCTATTTTTCAACCATGAAGCAGTAACACTGGGACATCATCCCCCAATGGTGTGGTCCGACACACATGGTTGATAGGGCGCACAATTTCTTGAGAATTTTGATTGCCGGGCAATCCTCTTGTAGGTCAAAGAACCTCCTGGACCATCTACTTTGTCCCCCGAAGAGGGCCATCAGGAGCACTGTGAGGTGGTTAGTGCCAATAATCGGATTAGATATCAGCACCGGAAGTGCACCATGCAATAATTATACCTCCACGAGTACTGTCAGCTTGGAGGAATAAATAATCGCAAAATTGGGGCGGGGGGTGGGCTATGATTTAATTAATTAGGAGTCGGGAGACAATTCTAACCTCATTTTCCTGTAGGAAAACCATAGTCAATAGGTCTGAGGAGATCTCCCTACAAACACCAGCACAGTGCGCAGTAGAGTTAATGCATTAAACATTCCAAATAAGCTTGAAGCTTTGATGCATGGAACAATTGTGGGATCCAAGCATGTGGGAGGAAATGTAGAAATGCCGACTAACCGAACCGAGGTGGTTGATCCCATAAACGTGGCAGCAACACACATTGAAGGAACATGCCGACAGAAGGAGTTGGCAACATACAAACTGGTGTCTTCACTGAGTTGTAAGTCAAAAGGGCACTTGCAGTTGGCTAGTATATCTACACTGATTTTCTCATTTTCGTGAACAATGAGTAGCCGTTGGAGAATCACACAATTGGACTTCATCTACGAGCTAAGCCCACAATCTATCCTGGTGATCTGGTGGCTCTGCGATGTTAACTCCGAGGAAAGCTCATTATGTTGTCAGCTGGGAGCATGATGGCCATTAATGGGGATATTGGGCTAGGTTGCACGTCACTTCATCATTCAGCCACATGCAAGGCAGATATATGATCCATCATTGGGCCACCACATCCCAATGGTTTGGAGGGAGAAACTCACATGGTTGGGGCATCTTGGAAGGTTCCCAAAGCATATGATCCACTTCATAAATGTGTCGAGGTCTGCCACCCAGAGGGAAATGGAGTCAAGAAAGATACACCCATCAGAATACTACAAGTTCCATGTAGCAACGTGGGGCATCGAGTAGTGAGCGGGACCAACATAGTGTTTTGTGGGGTCGTACGGTCACTTCATGGCAGAAGCAAATTGTTGGTTTCCATTGTCGTTGGAATATTATATGTGGCTCACATCCGTGTGTTCATAAAATGTTCGAAATATGAGGAGTGGCCTTATCAAAAGCTGGGAAAGCGTGCCCTCTTTGGCTAACTCCATTGGGCCCATAGGATGACCAGGAAACATGAGAAGGATATTCGAAGCTTCCTCCATGCCACCAGACCAACATTGGCTGAGCTCGAAAGACTGCGATAAACAAAATCACTGAGGCCATGGAAGGGGGCATGACGAGGAAGGTCTTTCATTGTAGTGACTGTGGGAAGAAGGATGTTAAGCCTGGGCGGGTAGGCGAAGGAGGTAATTAGCAAAGCGGCAAACATTGCATGCGGTACGAAAGCAAATTATTAGGGAATGCTTTTACCATGGCCAGAATAGAATAAGTGAACTCGCTGTTTGACTTGGTAATCAACAGATGTTTCTAGCACAAGTTCCTCGATCAATCATGAAGGTGAGGAGCATCTTTGTCGTGTCGATGCTCTTGGTGTGGTCTGTGTCCTTAAGCTCCCAATGTTAACCCTGAACCAATGGTTGACTGACTCAGCAGCATTCAATGACTCTAGGGATAGAACGGGAAGTGGAGAATTCAGGGCACATGATGCCCATCACATTGCGGGTGCAAACCATGTTGGTGGGGAATCAGATGATGTGTCTTGATGGCAGTGGCGATGAACATATAAATCTTTAGCTGTGAGGTGGAAACGCTCTCGTGGGACTGATGTGACCTCCTGCTGAAAATAATAGTGGTTTGAGGCAATGGTATCCACAAGACCACTAATCCACGAGCACCAGGGTGTGAAAAGCCTTTCTGAGTCTGGTATGATCTAGAACGCAGCATCCGGGCGCCGGGAAGGGTGAATAGTCATGCTGACCATGATTGAGCAGAGCGTATGAGAAGCCACAGCACCAGGTGAGCCAGCCACCTAGAAGGATAGGCCATCGTTCTAGAGGAGACATGATGATGCCACGTGGACCACCTGAAGAGGTAGATTTGCCAGACCAGGAAGTCGGACCACTTCTATGTCGACAAAGAGGTAGTGCACAAATAGGCTGGAAATAAGGAACAGAGCACCCACACACTACATGGCTGAAGTGATAACAACTCCTTTACTGGTCGCTTGGCGACATTCAAAGAGGGTATGGCGCAGGTCATTGAACATGTGGCACTCATTGTCTGCTGGGTGGGGCAACAATGATTGCGATTTGTTGTGATTTTCGAGGTGTACTCGGGTTGTTGTACATCACAGAGGACCCAATGTACTTGGACCTCACGTATGGATGCAAAGTGATCAGAGATGTGTCTGGTGTGGGAACCTCCGGCTCGAGGGACACGAGAGGCATGCCCAAATAGTCAGTTTTGGTAGGAGGGCCCCTACTATGAGAGTACATAGAAAAGGATCATACAGCCAGCACAACTCCGTCGAGATGCTAGTAGGGGTGTGGGAGGGCTCCATGGGTTACCGTGCGGGACATGTGGGAGAAGGCAGGTTGACGCCAAGGCCAAAAGTGACTGCCGACGAGGGCTAGAGGGGAGGTTCCTCATATGTTTGACATACAGGGGATGTTCAGGTATGTATTTATGAGCATGAAGATTGTTATGCCTACATATTGGTACATTATGATAGGCACAAAGGCATGAAGGATGAAGGAACACACATCAACAACTTACATTATATATGTCTTTCACTCTTTAGTTTGCTCAAGTTGAGCATATTATATAAGGCACTGCTAAGTGTAAGCTTACTATCCATAACCCAAATCGGTCGCCCAAAAACCACTGATTAATCCCTAATGACAGTTGGATATTTTTCACCACAAACACACAGGATAAAAGAGCAAATGCCCCATGGGGGATACATCGCTCATAAACAACACACCTGGGAAAGAGACACCCTTGTTTCTGGG